GTTTTATGTGCACCACTGCTGCCCCCTGTTGGAAGCATGTAAATCAGTTTTTTTTAATTATTTATTATTTTTAATGTACATTTTCAAACATTACCCTAATAATGTATGACTAAATGTACTCAATATAAACTTTTTTTTCGTAGTTGCAAAATACAATGAAATAGTTTTATTTTACTTAGGTTTATCGGAGCAGTCTGTTTGAGTCTGTCACCTTGCACTCATTATTTCCCTCTGGCCACTTGACTCGTTGTGTCTCATGCATTAACAATGTGCTCCGCTCGGAGAATAATAAAGTCTGCACAGCAAGACGGCGCGCAAGTAGAGAGGATATGAGCTCACCTTGGTAATTGTCCCAATGAGGTGAATGTGAAAAAAGAAAAAAGAAAAAAAAAACAGCACAATCTCATTACTTAAGAGAGAAAATGAGTTTTAGCTCATTAAACATGTTTCACTTACACCAGTTTCTCCTACTATTACCTTTTGTCTCCTCGCTTTCTTTTTGCCATCGCACATAAATCAGGACACTTCAAGAAATGTAACTACTTTCCCCTTGAATGGCCAAGGTGACTGGGCGTCCCAGCAGCCTGCTGCTTCTGCTCCAGGTGGAAAGCTTTTTAAAGCTGCTGGCTGGTGAAGTCGTCAGGCAACAGTGGCGTCAGCCATGTGGGATGTTTTTTTTTTCCCTTTTAAATCTCCAAATGCTGCTCTGTGTTGTCCTTTGCTGCTCTGTCACCGTCATCAGGCAGTGAGATGCAATTCAGTCCCACTGGCCCGCAGGTCTCAAATGGACTCACCTGGCTCCATATTTCTTCACATGCTGTCTCCACAAGGACAGCCAGCGTTTTTTCATTAAATTACTAGCGTCCACCTCAAAGTTAAAGGCACCACAGCAGAAACGTGTATCTTTGGCAAGCCTAATGAAAATGCTAATTGATAGTTAATGATTGTTAAGTCCCTGAAGCTGGCACCCAGTCCCACAGATAAACAGCATTAATGACATTTTAATTGCAAAAGTTGATAGAAATGTAGCCAGCAGACAGCTGGAACGATGAGAGGAACCGTTTCAGGACAGTTTGCATTGTTCCCGCAGACTCGATAATGAAGTGGGAGTGTCGAGGCCATGCTTTATGTTGTCAAAAAGTTCCCTCAGCGAGCCTTTATTTGCATAAGTTTTAAATTAGTCTGTGTTTTGTGTGGTGTGTGTGTGGGTGGGTGTGTGTTTGCATCGAAACTCCTGTCGTCTTGCATTGTTTTCTGTCAGTACGTCAGGAGAGTGTTTGACTCAGAGGAAGCTGTATGGTTACAATTTAAAAACATGAACTTTTTTTCTAAAATTGGTAGAAACAGGTAGCTCACCAAAAAAAAAGGTTGTTGGATTTTTTTTTTTTTTTCACCAGTAGAGAAATTGCTGTTTGGTTCATTTTAGAGAATGAAGCTGGGTTTTTGTTTCGGTCAAACGGTCTTACTGAGATTAAAAGCTGCTGTGATTTATGACCTCAGCTTTTGTGTGTTGGTGTGTGTAGGTTTGAGAGTAACACACAGATTAAATTTGAGGTCAGACAAGTGTACTCTTACAGAAAAAACAAAAAAATGAAACAGAGAGGTGAGCTTTGTCTTTCTTGTCAGTTAAAGCAGATTTGGGAGTTTTGTTTAAATAGGTTTTTCTTTAATAACAGTTTCCTAATGATGTGGTTCATATTTTTCAGAGCATTGTGGGCAATCGTCCTTGGATTTAAAAAAAATAATGCTTGTACATTTGTGAATTTCATTAAGCGAAATGGAAACAAAGCCCCTCAAATGTTTTACTGGTAAAATAAAACAGCACTCTATGAAGTTTGTCTCATTTTTTATTTCTTTATATTTTGCTACCAGGCATCCAGATATTTTGGAATCCTTTAAAGTGGTTTAGATCAATAGTTTTCAAGCATTCTGAAGTGTTTAGAAGTTGTTGTTTTTATTTTTATTTTTATTTAGCCTTAGCTGCTTTTCACTCGTTTTCAGTGCAGTAGCTGATTTTCACAGAAATGTTTATTTGTTTAGCCACTTAACTTTAACCTTTAACTTGTTTAGCTAAATAAAAGAAGAACTATAGAAACACGTTCCTACATTTAAGAGCTGAAGTTGTGAAAAACTCAACAAAAACACCATTTTGAAATGGAATCTTTAGGCTCTTTGTTACTAGTAGTCTGTCATAAAGAGACAATTTGGTTGAACATATTAAAAAATACCAAAGATAATGCAGCTTCACAGACCAAAAGTTGTTTTAGTACCAACAAGATTCCCAAAGAGCTTTGCGTTGGATACTTTGCCACATTTGTTAACACCCACTTGCAAAGTTCCCATTGGTAAAAGAAGAAACACAACAACAACACTGTTTCTCATTTTTAAGACATATTTTAGATGCTATGCATCTTTTGTGGACAGGTTTCAGTCCGGACCCTAATTCTTTGTTCCCTCACTTGTCCACCTTACTCATTGTATTTTAGTTCACACTGCACACTATGTTGCCATGGTCAGTACTGTACCGAACTGAAAATGATTGAAAATGCAGTTAAAATCCAAGGAAAAAAAAAACCTTTGGAAAGCTGGGAGAACTATTGATCAAAGCCACTTTAAAAGATTACAAGAAGGTCTGGGTCCCTGGGGGCAAATACAAAGAAATTAGTTTTAGTTTAAAACTTTTGTGCTGCACTGTTCATTATGAAATATTGCTTTTTTCTCATTTTGCTAATTAGCAACAATCTGATCCTGATTGTGTGCAGCTATGTAATTAAATTACGAACTTCTTTGTTGGTGCTTTTATTTATTTATTTATTAGTTGTAAATRCAAGTCAACTTATTCTGACTTTTCCAGAGGAGATTTTCCACTCCCATATAGCCCACTGGTGGTCTCCTGATGGTGCCAGGTTAGCTTACGCCACCATCAACGACACCTTGGTGCCCAAAATGGAGCTGCCGATGTTTACAGGCTCACCCTACCCAATGGGAAAGGAGTATCCTTACCCTAAGGTATTCATATAGACTTTTATTACATTTGTTAATAACTTCTTATTAGGAGTCTTAATTTGCTTTTRTCAGAGGTTCTGTTTCCTTCTAATGTTCTGATTCTGTTCAGGCTGGTGAAGAAAACCCAGTCATCACTTTGTATGTTGTGAACCTGAATGGCCCTCTGCACACCATCGAGATGAGGAGACCTGAAGATCCCAGGATTGGGTGAGTCATAAAAGAAAATACAGAACAGTTTGTTTCTCGGCTGGGTCAAATGGTGACATTTTTTCAAAGCTTTAAAACAAGCATCTGCAAAAAGCGTCATTTTAAATATTTACTCAAAAAACATACAGATCTAAGATTTTCAGATAATTAGTCTGGACAGTTTTTTCAAAATATAGTCTTTCCTCATTCAGCAACAAACAACTACTGCTTTATTAAACTATTCATTAAATGATAAGTTATTTGATATGCAATTTTTTTTCCAAATTTTTTTGATTGCTTCCTTTTGATTTTTGGTTTCCTACACACACTGCTCATTTACAGTAAATTCACCCCTCGCAACAACACAGTTAATCAAATCTGTTTCAGGTCCTGGATAATTTGGCAATCTTTTAAAAACTAAGTCTCGTTTTAAGGGGGTGGTCAGTTTTACAATTTTGTCACATTTATCTGTTCTAATACATCATATCTGGGATTTCCTTTATATCATGTTGTAATGTCATTCCCTCGTCAAAAACTTAGAGTGTTGCTTTGAATCAATCAATTATGTTGGAGAAATCCCTGAATAAGTATTGAACACGTCACCATTTTTCTCAGTAAATATATTACTAGAGGAGCTAATGACATGA